ATTGACTTCCCGTGAAACGATCATTTGTCAGAAGTACGAGAGCCGGTTGTATAGAATAAGAGAGAGAGAAAAGAGATAGAGAGAAAATGGAGAAAGGAGCGCGTTAGTTTCGTTCACGAAACGATTTATGACTTCTGAGCCGGTCATGCGGCTCAGCCGGAAGTCGCGGTACCCTTTGTTCCTTCGTTCCTACGTTCCTTCTTGTAATACCACCACCTCGAGCTCGTTTATCGCATTTACATTTGCCCTTTCTCTTTCTTTCTTTCTTTCTTTCTTTCTTTCTCGCTTTCTCTTGTTCTTCTCGCCCACTCACGTCGTATTCAGATTATTGAATTAGATATACGAAGAAGGAATTGAATTGATTTTTGCAAGTCACCCCAAGGCCCTCGTGATGATCCTTGTCGTTTTCTTGCTATGCGAGTATACTATATATATATATAGATACGATTAGAAGGAATCAAGATTCTCTCTTTTATTCTCAGGAAGAACAATGTCAGAGTCACGCCTATCCTTTAAAACGATTCTTCTTCTTACCGCTTCGTAAATTCATTGAAATTTTTGATCAAACATTTTGTTATCTCCATTCATTATAAAAATAGTCAAAACAAACATTAATTTAATTATAACCATTTTGTATAACAGGAATCGGAATGAAAATTTATTCATTTAATAGGTTCTCTTAAACTTGACTAAACGAATAGGTTGTTGGAAAGGTTACAAATGATAGATAGATGTTACAACTTTCATGATTAAGCGAAAAAGATGAAGTGGAATTTATTATCGTTATGAGATACGTTTGATGTTAAATTTCCGGATGTGACAGGTCGACGATAAAATGGTGTGCTGGCTTTTTAAGCGACAGCAAGAGTTACAGAAATATGATGCATCTACTTTGACGCACGAGGATATGTCACTTTGAGTTTTTTTTTCTAATTTAAGAATCTTACCAAGGGAAATAAAATAAAAAAAAAAAAAAAGAAACAAAAATTAATCAAGCTTCGAGACGTGAATATATCGAAATAATTGAATTGTAATATAGTGCCATCTATTGAAAGAACCTTACAGAACCTAGATAACCTTTACATAAAAATCTTAAAAAAAAAAAAAATCCTTTGGAAAAAACACAAATTAAAACGTCAATCATATTTTTTCTTCTTTTCAATGTAAACATTAATTTTGTTCATATCTAGGCTGAATTGTTACAACATAATCCAAAATTATCCATTACTAAATATAATTGGTATCGACATAATTAGGGTAAAGTCGCGTAACGAACTTATTGTAGGATAATATTGATTCATGAGCCACGTGGGAGGAATATTACGTTGCGAGTGTCCCACGTGTAGTGTCGTATAGGCTAACCAGATACTTTAATGACCCTTAACGACGAGCAATTAGTGCGATACGAACTAATGTAATGCTAGCAGCCTTGCATTACGAAAAGAAATGCTTCCAATTATTCCTATTATTTGATGTTATTTGACCATCGATCCTATTGTTAGAACACACACCACAATCCTTTTATTTATTATTTATTCCAATTTTATCATCAAATTTCTAATATAAAATATAAACGCGAGTTCATTCTGTTGTTAACTGATGAATGGAAATGTCAACTTTTTCTTTTCTGTTCTTGAGTCCATCTTAATTTTCGTAGCACTAATTCAGTAATAATTTATGTGAAGATCAAGATGACTATTCTGGTTAAAACCACTTGAGAATCCAGAACTGAAGTATCAATCTTACCTTCTATCTTTCTCTAATTTTCTTCTAGTTAGACGTTTGAAGATGCCGACATGCATCTCGTTGTGAGAATCTTTTTTTTCTAAAGAGAGTTTGTTGGTAGTGTGGCACTTTGGTAACAGGACGCGTGCCGCTCTTGAAATGCGGCACTACTCAAAGTATCCTTACTGTATTCTTATACTTATATACACACAACCACACACACGGGATTAGTTGCTTTGGACATTTAGAGAGATCGTATTTTTCTGTTATCGCGAAACTTGGATGCTTTTTTTCTTTTCTTTTTCTCTCATCTTAGGGATACTTAAAAGTAGGTACGGATCTTGGGAAAAGTGATTAATAATGCCGTTATGTCTAACAAATCAGACATCTGGAGTATTACTTTCTTTGAGAATACTATCGTATGTGGTAAGCAATGTCCTTTTTTTTGGAGCTGTAAGACGAGTACAAGGAGCGGTCCGACTTTGGTTAATACGATACCGTGACAAGAAAGTCAAGTCTAGTCGTTAGGATTATGAGGTTTGTTAAGAGATCTATGAAGGAAACGACCTCCCTGAACCTTCTCGTCCTTCCTTGTCCAAATTTTCTTTTACGTGTTACCGACGGTGTTGAAAAATGGTCTACAGTTTCAAAGTACCACCCATATTTTTCTCTTTCTTTCTCCTGTACCTTGACACACACAAAAAAAGAAAAACAGTTTTACAAAACTGTCTACTTATATTTTTATTTTATTACATACATTTATAATAAAAAAAAAAAAAAAGAAAGGATGAACACACAACAAGCAAGTACAATTTCTATGTACAAAAGTTTCTTTATTGTTTATACATATGTTAAGAATACGTCAAATTCATTTACTTATGGGTTTTAAAAAGAGATTGATTGACAGAGTAGTCGTTCGTTTTTTTATTCTTTGGCACAACAGGATGTTCCATTGCAAAGTATCGTTCTCTCTTCTCTAACACCAAGCAAACGGGGTTGTAACGTAGCCACAGCTCTCCATTCGCTTGAATTGAACCACAGGGGTGAAGGGAGGGAGGGAGGGATGCCATGAAATTAATCGCACAGCGGTGTCTTTGTTGAGAGTTTCGCTAAGCTTTATTATCCGCGACACGTTCGATACACGACGACGATGACGATGATGATGATGATGACGACGACGACGACGACAACGACGACGGGACACACAGGGTTCTAATGACGGCGCAAGTCCTCGAGAATGGCTCGTACACGTGACACGTACAAAGGATAATTATTCATTTCGAAAACGATGTGACCGAGGCAACGTCATAAAAACAACAACAACAACAACAACAAGATGAACAAAACAAAACGAATGGAAAAGAATTATTTATGTGCGGTCTGCATTTAAGTACCGTTATTCTTCTTTACCCTTTTGCCCTTAACATCAAATTACAGAGAATATTTTACGATTGTAGTTTGAATATTATACGAAGATAGAAAAGATAATCGTTTTTATTAGAATAATAATGAAATTTCATCTGAATCATCATTGAATCGAATCAAGCAACAAACCTTCTTCACAACCCTCCTTGACTGGTGGTTCAATCTCCAAAAAAAAGTCATCCCTAACTGGTCGTCCGTTTATTCGCCATTCAGCAGACAACAACCCCCCGCGAATCGTTGCGGTAGGAGTAAACCCTCGCTTCCAACTCTGCTTCTGGAGTTTCCCTATCGCTACTTTGCATAAAGATCTAATTTCGTAATCTCTACCATATTGATCCGGTTTATTATGGTGCCCCGGTCTGTAAATTGTTTATTGCGATCGTTGTCGATGTCCTTTTCAGGATTACATTTCTTTAAAATGTATGTACTGAGGATGCGAGTATAATTATATATAGTTTAGTTTTAATCATCTTCTAAATTTATTTATTTATTAAAACGTGAAATAATCGTTTACAACATAGATGATAAACAACATATTCAAGCCATAAATTTTTTATTTTATTTTTATTTTATTTTTTTTCTAGAATGTCACGGCATTCTTATATACATAATCTTTATCAATGAATAATTAATACTTACAGTTATTATTAATTCGTACCTAACTCATATCTCTTGTCTACATAAACTGTATTTGCAGTAAGTTTACACATTTTAATTACGCCATCGTATAATTACTAACAACTGACGGTTAATTTATGATAATACGCTAATGACGATATAAAAGAATGCTAAGAAAAATGATTTAATTAGTAGAAATGACCAGGTCGTCCTAGCAACGTCATCAAAGGTAGCGTTAAACTGGTCGAGTCATCTTCGCTAATAACGCACAGGGCTCTGTATCTTTCTCGCGCATACCTTTGTATTATACATAAATACATAATAACCAAAATGATATTAAAAAAAAAAAATATATATATATATATATATCTGTCCAATATTATTATATAGACGAGTTTCAGACGATCAAATTCATTTGTTATCACTTTGATAATAAAATTGACGAGCCTAATTGAAAGCTAAATGAAAAAGGTAAAAAAGCTTAAGATAAGCCCTTGAAACAGATGTTTCGCGAATGCGATTTCGCGTCATCTCTTTGGTCGATGTTAAGTGTTAGAAAATTTATAACTTATAGGAGCGTGAATCGACGTGGCAAAGTATCCAACATCCGTAGGGACGATATCGGTTGGTTCAACTGCTGGTACAGAGGGATCCTGGGCTAAATTCAACAAGGGAGATGTGAAGTAACACAGTACAGGGGGTAATGTAAAAGGGGACTGATGTTATGACGGGACATTTCATGGCTGGGAGGATCCACGGCTTAACGGCCCGTGCGATATTACCATCGCAATATCTCATGACTCCTTTTAACTTAGAATCACTTTACGAATATGTTACACGTCGCTAACTGTTTACCAAGATTATGTCTTCCTGATCCGAGAAGAGAAAATACATATATATATATATATATATATTTATATACATATATCACGTGCTACTTAAGAGAAAAAAATAATCAAAAGTAAGATCCTCGAACGACGATATGAATGCAGGCAGAAACACTATGATTACTCACAAAAGCATTATTTATTTTCTCTTTATCTTCTTTTAAATGAATTTATAATTATATAATAATATAATAATATAATAATAATAATAATTAATAATAATAATAATAATAATAATAATTAAAATACATAATTAATATAATAATAATAATAATAAAAATAATATTAATAATAATAATAATCATAATAATATTATATTATATTATCAATAATTATGTGAATTAATTCATTAATAATAATAGTATGTTATTACGTTGAAAGGGTGGTGAGCTGATATGGGACATCGTCCGAGTTCAAGTTCCAAACGCAAGACCTTCGGGAGTTCGCTTCTACAACAAAATGATAGATTTAACAATAAAATTCGTTAATCATCGTTGGTACCAATCATCTCTCGGCAACCGCGATTGGAACTTGTACGGAGTGCATCGTGCTTTTGACCGAACGTCGCCCAGAACACGCATTTGCGTTTCTTTCACTCTCTCTCTCTTTCTCTCTTTCGCTCGCTCGCTCTCTCTCTCTCTCTCGCTCTCACTTCGCAAAGCGTAAGTAAATAGGATGATGATTGGGGTGAAGGAGAAACGACGATGACGACGACTCGTGTCTGTGTATCGTACAGCGCGACAGTGCATACCTACGTACATATATGTATATGTATTTTACATTACACCGCTTAATTAATATATATCATTTTATATTTATATTTATATTTATATTTATATTTATATATATATATATATTTCTCACTTTCTCTCGTTTGCTCTTTCGTACGCGTTACCATTCTCTCTGTCCTTTCTTACTCACACACGCTCACTATTATTTATAGTATTTACAAGTTAACAAAGTCAGCAAAATCCGCGTGCACAGCGGTCGAAGGAGAGGCAGGCTGCTCCCTCCGTTCCTGCTCTCCGAGGAAACGAAAGGCTTTAGAGGAATCGTTATTCGGCTTAAAGACTATGTACAGGCGCGGGGGAGGAGGGTGAAGGAGTCTGTACCGAGCCAGGTGTACCAGGATTTTGTTGCATGGAATAGGAATTGTTTTGTCGAGAGTGTTGCTGTTGTTGCTGCTGTTGTTGTTGTTGCTGTTGATTGTGATGTTGGTGATGTTGTTGATGATGATGATGGGAGGATGGATTGGAGTGATGATGCTGTTGTTGTTGTTGTTGGTGATGGTGTTGATGATGATGGGAATGAGTATTGACGTGATTTTGGATAAGGTTTAAGTTGAGGGGGTAGGATAGGGAGGAGGAGGAGCCCAGGGTCGTTGCGGCAGATGTACTGCAGGCACCGGCTCCGGGCCCCACCGGGCTCAGTGCATGCTCATCCCCGCGTGCGGATGATGGGCCGCTGGTACGGATGTTGCGTGATGATGAGGATGGTGCATTAGAGGCGGGAGATGCGGGTGGTGGGGATGGTGTGCGGTCAGAGACGGAGGGGTCATCTGTATTGGGGTCATGGGTG